ACTCTGACATACAGATATACTTTACTACTTTTGAGACTATTTTACTTTTGAGAAAGCAATGGGAAATGACCTAAATCACTTGAGTTACAGTTTTGGAGAATGTAGCCCATAGGCTTTAAACCGCTGACATTGACTCTGGATCTCTACAATCATGAGAAAAAAAGTCAATGATATTCCTTTGGTATCATTCCTATAACATGCAATTTGTGGATCAGCTAGAAAAGTAGCTTGTTGAAGAGACACCTGAAAGTGAACAAATATTGAGATTCAATCACTATTTCTATGGTTGAAATGTGTGGCTAAGGACCATGTTTTTACTAAAAGTAAGAAAATAGAGCAGCAATAGGGGTCGTAGGGCTTTGAGCATGATAAGCAGAAGGATGAATGAATTTGAAGCCTGAACTCTTTTCATAGATTAGGATTGTTTATTACTATTCTTAGTTGGATTCCTCTACCTTCAAAATACACATTTGTTAATTCTTGGCTTATTTTGAAAGTTTTCACCATAAGAAGATGGGAGGGGCAGTTTGTCCTACAATAAGTACTTGGTAGAAGTTCCTTCTAAATGTCACTCCAACACAACATGGTGGTTTTCTGCCTAAAGAAGTTCCCTAATTCAGTTTTACTTCTCTTTCTGTGAAATGAAAACAACAAACTTCAGAACAAGCAGAGCAAGTGTAGTCAGTTGACAATGAAAACAATTATCTTCTGACTTAGGATCAAGCTTGTGAACAAAGAACAGCATAAACATGAAAAAGATTTGCAGCCTTTTGCTGAGTCTACCCTTTTTCTTCAGTGCCCAAGCTATTCGAGGTGAGTTTCAAATTTATTTTACCATTTTTTTCTGGATTTTGGTCTCTGTCTCTTTCTTTCAGAAAATACTCTAGCTCATTCTCTGCTTTTTTCTTTTTTTTCCCCACTTCCTTCTTCTACCACCTGCTAAAGGAGAACAGACCTCTTAGTCACGGACAGACAGTCAGTGCATTACAGACGGATATAGAGAACAGATCAACTGTAGTATGGCTGGAGTACTGGACATATAAAATCCTGGATAAATGGATGAGACGAACAAGACTGGTTAGTGAGTGCGTAGAAAGGAGGACTAGCCCCTGACAGTAAGTTAAAACATAGGAAAATGACAGGGTACCACGATCAGATGACAGTGTATTTGGACAGAGATGAGTGGACAGACACAAGACGTGTGTGGGTATACGGGCTGTGGACAGCAACCTGATATGTTTCCCTGTAGAAGAGCTCAAAGATAAACGAACCATGTTTCAGATCCATTCCGTTTCAGAGTTTAACATCTTTCCTCTTCTTTGTACTATTAGAGATACTTTTATCTGGCCAGTGCCAAACGCAGGACATTTTCCTTTGAGACCTCTGCAGTTCTATGTATTACAATATAGGGTGTACTGGTCTCTTTAGATGATACATTCCAAGTGTCAGTCTTATGTTTAGATTACATTCTTTATAGGATATTCTATTTCCTTGATCAGTACAAGATGTACTGAAACTTGCTTATGAATTGCTTTTCAGTCGAAGATGAAAGTAAAGTGAATCTTAGGCCTGCTAGCTAAGACACTACCTTAATTTTTTGAGGTTTTTGGCTTACCAGAAGTTCTTCAGTCAAGCTGGCAATAGTCCTCAGCAAGGAAAATTATTTGAGAGTTCTGACTCATGTTTGCATGCTGATATCACTGTCACCTGGGGGCCACATCTCAGTAGTATAGCACAAATACTAGCCTTGGCAGAGATTAAAGAAGGGTAGGAGAAATCAACTTGCTCTGTAGTGCATGTACCAATCATTTCTGTTTACTCTTGTTGTATGAATGGAAGGTCTTCATTTTCCCATTTCACAGCTGTGAGATTGAAAAAAAAGTTTTCCCTGGTCTGGACATTTTTTTGCGTGTTAAATCTAGTTCAAAAAAGTAGTTTGGCCATTCTGAGCTCTAACAAGATGATTTCCAGGCACTGTCTTCCTTGTGTCAAAACCTTTGCTAGGAGGTTAGTGGGAAAGAAGTCCCATTCAGTAATACACGAAGATGAAACGATCGCCATCTCTTCACCGATTGTTGTATCCATTAACCTTGAGAAATAAACTCATTTTGGGAATTGATCCTTAAAATAAGCCCTAAAGCATAAAGATCTCAAAGATCTCAGTCTTGTTAATTTAGACCTTTAGCTTGGTTTGGACACTTGTGGATTGTGGAAATGTGCAGAATGGCTACAGCTCAGTGGACATTTTCATGGATCATCATTTTCCTGTATCACAAGGAAAGGGTTGTTATCTGTACCTTCCCCTTTTTGCTGGCAGAACTTGCATACTTCACACTACCTTTCACTCTCTACATTTGTAACCGCTGTGCCTGCTTTTTCTGGATTCTTTTCTCAGAGAGTGTCCCAATGCAGAACTTGAGCTGCTACAATGACTACAATTCACAGGTGACCTGTACGTGGATGGAGCATTCAGAGGCTCATGTCTTCCTTGGTATGACTCTTTATCGAAGGGATGGTAACAAAAAGTAAGTACCTGAACTGTGCTCTGCTGGATAAAACTCAAAAGAGAGTTTTGTCACTGAACACAGAAAAGAGGCCTGGGGTTCAGTCAAGCATGGCAGTCAGGTTTTCAGATCACATTTTTCTGTTGATGAATGAGAGCTGAAGTTGAGCCTTCTTTGGATGCCTTTTCTTGGAAGAGAGAAAATAGTAGGGTACAGTAGTGTAGTTGTTTTCGTTAGTTTTTCAATTATATTCCCCTAGTGGGACTTACAGGTTTGAAGTGCAATAGGTCATTGTAGATGGGTTAGAGAAGATGGTGCCCCAAAAAGTGTGGGCCTGAGAGTTACTCATAAAACATTTTGCCCTTGCAAACATCACTGAGAGTACTGGTTTGATCATTTCTAGAACAAAAAAAAAAAAAAAGACTGCATTTGTGAGGGTGATAAGTTTATTTGTACTATCAGGTTTCCTTGTATAGATACTGGTCTGTTTAAGCTACTATCTTTCTGCTACATCTGTTTGCTTATGACAATGGACCTGAACCACAAGACTGGATCATTTGTGAGGATAAAAAGGACAGAGAGGAAGAAATAATCAAAGAAGAGAGGAAGATGGAAAGCAGAGAGGAAAATGAGTGAATCCAGGGATAAAGGAAGAAAAGAAAAAAAGTCTTGATTTTATTTTGAGGATGAGAGAATTCGTAGACCTAAAAGCATCTGAAATCAGTGGGAGGTCTTTGGAACAGGCCCTAGAAATTTATACTTATGGGAAAAGATAATACAAAATTACTTGAACCTTTCAAGTATGCTCAGGAACATTGTTACATGTTGGAATGCTGTGTGTGGATTTTACAGTAAACATAAATGGAGCATACTAATCAAACAAATAGATATTAAGTGTGGACAGTCACACAGCTGACATCAAAATGGCCAGCAATTAAATAAGGTTAGCTCATAAAGGAAGAAGAGCTGAATAAATTGAAATGATGAGCTGATGCTTGTATATAGACAGAAGCATCTTCTACATTTCACATCCCTAAGACTAACACTTTTTGTTAATGACACACAACCATGTATGGTCAATGCAATCTATATCCCTGGAATATCCCTGGTTTCCTTGTTAATATCTAACTTTTAAAAATAGCAATATTACTGAACAATGCTTGCTGACATACGGTTAGCTAGAAAACTTCTTCATGTCCTGGAAGGCAGGACTGGTCCTCAGACATTTGTGACAATATCTCTCATTTGAACTGGAACAGAATCAGGGAATCACAGGAACACAAAATAGTTAATGTTGGAAGAGACCACTGGAGATCATCTGGTTCGACACTCCTGTTCAAGCAGGATCCGTTGGGCAGCTTGCTCAGAACCACAACTTCTGAATATTTCCACGGATAGAGCTCCAGGCAATCTGTTCCAGTATTCCATCACCCTCACAATGTTTTCTTATGCTCAGATGGAATTTCCAATATGTGCCAGTTGCCTCTTTTCCTGTCACTGGGCATCATTGAAAATAGACTGGCTCAATTTTCTTTACACATGCCAATCAGATATTTTTAAGCATTGATATTGATAATAGATCCCCTGAGCCTTTTCTTGTACTGGGGACAGAACTGGACTCAGTGGTACAGATGTGGCCTCACCAGTGCTGAATAGAAAGGAAGGTTCATCTCCCTTGATGTGATGGCAAAACTCTTCTTCATCCAGGCCAGAATATCATTGGCTTTCTTTGCCACTAAGCTGCATTGCTAGCTTATGTTCAACTTGTCAACTAGGACTCTCAAGTCCTTCACCACAGAGCTGCTTTCCAGCTGGCTGGTACTGGTATATGAGGTTGTTCCTCCCCAGGTACAGGACTTTGCATTTGCCTTTGCTGAATTTCATGAGATTCCACTCTGCCCATTTCTTCAGCCAATCAAGATCTCTCTGAATTGCAGTGCTGCACCTGGTGTATTAGCCATTCCTTTCTGTCTCACATTCCCTGGTAACTTGCTGAGAGGCATTCAGTCCCATCATCTAGGTCATTAATAAAGATATTAAACAGTATTGGACCCAGTACACCCCCCTGCAGGACACTGCTAGTGACTGGCCTCCAGCTGGACTTTGTGTTACTCGTCACAACCCTCTGACCTTGTCAGTTCAGCTGGTTTTCAATCTACCCCACCATCCACTCACCTGGCCCATACTTCATCATTTTGTCTACAAGGTAGACACTGTCAAAAGCTTTACTAAAGTCAAGGTAAACAACATCCATTGCTCTTGCCCTCATCCACCAAGACAGTTTGATGAGATCATCATAGAAGGCTATCAGGTGGGTTAAGCACAAATTCCCCATTGCAAACCCATGCTATCTATGCCCAGCCACCTTCCTGTCCTTCATGTGCCTGAAAATGGTTTCCAGGAATCAAGGTGAGACTGACTAAGCTATAGGTCCACAGATCCTGTTCTTGCCCCTCTTGAAGAGAGGTGACATTTGCTTTTCTCCAGGACTCAGGAACCTCTCTTTCAAAGATTATCAAGAATAGCCTTGCAATGACATCAGTCAACAATGTCAGCACTCATGGGGGCATCCTGCCCAAAATGTATGCCCATTTTGTTTAAGTGTTCCGTAGCCTGATCCTCTTCCACCAAGGGTAAATCTTCCCTGCTGCAGGCTTCCCCTTTTCTCTCAGGTGCCTGGGATTCCTGATGGCTTGTTTTACTGGTGAAGACTGAGGCAAAGAATGCATTTAGTACCTTCCCCTTTTCTATGTTCTTTGTCACCACATCTTCTATGTCTTTTGTTACCACAACTGCCCTGATTTTCCTTATTTTCCTTATGTTTTCCTTAGCCTCCTCTTTGCTGCTTATGTACTTAGAGAAGCCTTTCTTATTGTCTTTCATGTCCCTTGCCAGTTTCAATTCTAAATAGGCTTTGGCTTTTCTCACTCCATCCCTGTATGTTTAAACAGTCTTTCTGTATTACTCCTGGGTCACCTGTCTCTGCTTTCACCTCTTGTGCCATTTCTTCTTACATTTGAGTCTGGTCAGGTGCTCCTTGTTCCTCCATGCAAGTCTCCCACTGCCTTAGCTGATTTCTTGCTTGTTGAGATAGACCGTTCTTGAGGAGGAGGTGATTCTTGAATATCAACCAGATTGCTTGGACCTCTATTCTCAACAGGCCTATATCCTATTTGCTTTGGTATCCCATCAAAGCATATGTCTGGACAGGCTGAAGTCAGTGCTTTTTAAGTCCGGGGCTGTGATCCTGTTTTTTACCCTGCTCCCTTCTTGCGGAATCTGAGCTTTGCCATCTCATCTCATTGTCACAGCAGTCAAGATTGTGCCTGACGCTCAGAATCCTAACCAGTCTTTCCTTGTTTGTAAGTTTGAGGTCAAGCAGAGTGCCTCTCCTAATCAGCTCCTTGATCACCTTTGTTAGGAAATTGTCATCAATACACTCCAGAAACTTGCTGGATTGCTTCGACTCTGCTATACTGTCCCTCCAGTAGGGTGGTTGATATCAAGTATCAGGCCCATGAGGACCAAGGCCTGCAAACAGGAGTTTTCTTCCAATTTTTCTGAAAGTCTTACCTAGTTCTTCCTGATCATGCAGTCTATAGCAAACACCCACTACAATGTTGCTCACATTAGTCTGCCTGCTGATTCTGAGCAATGAGCTGGTCCCTCACCCATCCTTAGGCAGAACTCTTATGCAGTTCAATTGCTCTCTCACATAAAAGGAAACTCCCCACTCCTCACCTTCCTGCCCAAGATCCACTTATTGCTGCATTCCAGTAATGTGAAATATCCCACCACAAGAAAATTGTTTTATGTCAGACACCTACACCTACTAGGTGTACACCTAATTTTATTTTAGACACCTGCATGACAGATGGTCACTTCTGTTTTTCAATGTAATATAACTGAGGACAATGTAGTATAACTGGGCAAGAAGCCATAAGCACAAGCAAAATTCTAGAAGGTGCAAAAAGAAGCAACACATCTCTCTAGCAGCTAAAGCTACTGCAAGAACACAAAGCTTATGCTTTTCTGTCTAGTTTAAAATATTGTTTTTAATCTCCAAGAAGCTCCTTGGTCTGGAGGAAGGCTATCTAAAAGATGCTTAACACTCTGAGATGAAAACTTTGATGAATACCTGAAGTCCCTTGACTGCTAAGGATATAAAAGCATATTTTGTTTAGAAAGAGAGAGAAAAAAGCATGCTCAGAGTGTGCCAAATAAACTTCTTCAAGGAGCTAAGGATCTTCAGAAACCTTTACTGCCTTTCACTCTGAGTGAAAGGGGCATTTCCATGACATTATTATTCATGATAGAATTTCTCATATAAAAATAGGAGAATATGTACATTTAGCATAAAAATTAACAAAAATGTGAGGATTGATTAAGGCAAAACAATAATAGTAAGTAAAGTGATTTTGGAGATACAAGAATCCAAGTAAATTAAAAGAGAAAGAAAGAGATAGATTTTCTATTTAGGTATTTAATTTGGGATTCATCATATTTTTCTAAATAAGCTCTTTACAAATCACCTTTTTTTAATACACAGGAAGAATGAAGAGATGCATTGCAAGCCCCAGGCAGAAAATGAGTTTCATAAGGTTCCCAAATTCTATATCCACTGGATTTGTCACAGCACTGTAGACAGCACTTTTGGAATAGGGGTAGATGATATTTACAGCTTCAAACCAAACAAGACACTTCAAGCAGAACTGAATGTTCATCTTTACAAGATTGGTAAGGATTAAATACCATATTCATATTTTGAATGAACATTAGATATTAGATATTCTTCAGAAACAAAAGTTAATAATCCTTCTGTCCAGTCCAGAAATGAATTTGACTTCTCTTGTGAAATCTTTCAAATGGTTCCACATTAGGAGGACAAGCAGGGCAGGGAAGGGAGAGGACAAGGTTCTGAGGCAGTTGGGACTGGAAGAGGGCACTCATCTGGGAGCTGCTTGCTCTGGAAGGCATAAGATACCATGGAGAAGGGAAAGGTAGTTAATGCAACTCTGGCATCTCACATGTTGTACCTCCACCTTGCAGTTCAGCCCCTCCCACCTCAAAACCTGTCAGTCAGCTTGATGACATCAGGAGACTTCTTGCTGACATGGAAAGGATATGAAGGAAACCCAGGCCTGAGCAATGCACTGGAGTATGAAGTGGCTTACAAGCAGAAGTGGGAGTCCTGGGAGGTAAGAACAGAGAGCTGGGCTGTTCTGGCGTGGGCTGTGCATGCCATTTAGGATGGTCAAGATCCTACAGTAAAAGCTGGGCATATTTCTGGCCTTTAGGTTCTCAGGTACTACCAAGAGATGCAGTAAGTGATATTTCTGGTCAGGCAGAGGGGTTTCTGTTCCTATGGGCAAATGGCTTGTTCAGTGAAATAGTGCTTGTTTAAACTGATTGCAGAAATCTACTCTGTAAAGAAAGAAGCACTGTCCTAGGGTTTTGAGCTGGAATTTTTACTCTGTGCCTCAAATACTCTGTTGAGTTTTGGGTCCCTCAATACAAGAAAAACATGGCGTTGCTGGAATGAGGGGCTGAAGCACAGACCTTACGAGGAAGGACTGAGGGAGATGGAGTTATTTAGTCTTCAGAAGAGAAGGCTCAGAGGTGACCTTATTGCTCTCTACAACTACCTGAAAAGAGGTTGTAGTGAGGCAGAGGTTGATCTCTTCTCCAAAATAACTACAAATAGGACAAGGGGAAATGGATTCAAATTGCTCCAGGGGAGGTTCGGGTAAGATAATATGAAAAAAATTATACACAGAAAGACTAGTGAAGCATTGGAATAGGCGGCCAAGAGTACTTGTGGAGCCACTGTCCCTGGCAGTGTTCAAAAAATGTGTGATGAGGCACTTAGGGACATGGTTTAGTAGGCAGGATGTTGAAGGATTGACAGTTGGAGTCGATGATCTTGAAGATTTTTTCCAAACACAGTGATTCTATGAATCTACACTAAGACCCTTTGGAATGAAATTAAAGCATGTTTCAAGATGAACATGTGGGATGATGGCCAAAACATTTTAAAGCTGTTCCCCAGCAAGAAAAATGTTTTCAATTTTTTCAGACACTATTCCCTTTCCTCTATTATTTCCCCAAATCCGCCTCTGTTTCTGTAACTATTAGCCTGTTCTCTACTTTTTCATGAGAAATATCTTGGCTAAATTCCTGAACAGTTCTGCACTGGGCAGTGCTCTGAACTATGTAACTGATGCTGAAGAGAAATGAACTTCTCAAAGCTACGAGAGCCAGCGCATGTGTGAGGGTAGATTTTACTAGGCAATGCCTGTGCCTCATTCCTCCTTGGCTATGCAGGCAGCATGCACACCAAAATCCCTCCAAGATTCCCCCAGGGCGCTACGATACACCGTGCATGTTGATGATCACACACATGAGAATGCTTGGAGATGCTATTGGACTCTCAAGAAGATCTCTCTGATATGTTGTCTAACAGTCGTTTTCCCTTGCTCTTTCCGTTACTTCTCCCTTTTCCTCTGCACCCTGATTCCCCACTCCTCTCCCTGCCTCTTTCCC